CAGGTTGTCATGTTGGCGGGCTTGGTCAGGATATCATGTTGGCGGACTTGGTCATGGTATGATGTTGTCGAACTTGGGTAAGGATGTCATGATGGCGAAAGACGGTCGGGGTGCTGTTGTCGGATGGGACCAGGGCGCCGATGTACTATGATGCCATATTTTCTTCTGGACAAACTGTAGCATTATAACCAGGGTGTACTGTAGTTTCTCTTGGAGGACGCAGTTGATGATGGGGCGCGGTATAGAATGCCGATGATGACGTTACAGCCGTCGGCCCTGACGCTGTTGACGTCAGAACATCCACAATCCTCGTGAATATTTATTCTGAACACCGTTTTAACAACAAACACTGACCCATCAACACGCCATACAGTTCGACCATCGTGACGATTCATACGCTCCGGAGCTGGAGATGTGTGATCATCCTGAGTTTAAGACCCTAGTTGTAAACTTCCGCTCCTCCGCTGCTTGATACCCGTGGGGAGACAAGAATCCGAAGTAGGGCTTGGTTTCAATGAGACACTAAGACGATTCAGGGGTTGGTTGAAGAGCATTAGACTGTTATGTGGTGACGTAATGGTTTATACTCTAAAAACACTTCGCAAACATTTTAAACTGATATTCGGTAAAACAATATTATTTATTTCTTTATTCCATTCACGCGTTCCAAACCTGAATCTGTTTCCCAACCATTATGTATTGTTTCGAACAAATATTTTATCCTAAAATTTCGCTTTTGGCTCTAGTCGTAAATGGATATATTCCTACAAGAACATCAAGAATATTGCGGTCTCAACAGGGATGGGGGACGGTGGGGTGGCCCTGTGGTTAAAGCGTTAGCTCGTCATGCCGAAGACCCAGGTTCGATTCCCCGCATGGGTACAATGTGTGAAACCTATTTCTGATGTCACCCGTAGTGATATTGCTTTAATATTGCTAAAATAGGTGTAAAACTAAGCTCATTCGCTCATTAACAGGGATCGCCGTCAAATCCTCTAACGGAGGTCTTACGTAAATTTTCTGGTATCAACCTCAGTGATATTGCTGGTATGTTGGTGAAAGCGGCGTAATTCACTAACTCAATTAAGGTAAAGAAATAGCAACAATATAAAATCAGTAAAAGCATAACATTTATAGATAAATAAGTATCTCTACATTAAAATACAAAAGGAAAATAGTCTATTTTTTCAATCTTTGAAAGCAATAAATGTTTTCAATTCAGATCAAAATATTTTCCACATCTCCGTCTTGAAGAATGAAAACTAAATGATATGGTGTATGCGAAACATAATGTCTGGAAACGTTTAATTTAAAAGCGCTGACAGTTTCGGTTGTTTTGTTACCGCTTCAACGCGGTATAATTTAAGGGTAATGTGAGACATTTATTACAATCAGCAATAATGAAATGGATAAGGATCCTGTCTGCCATGGTAGCTGTTTCTAAATTACCCTTTTTCAGATGTATTGCCATGGCACTCGCCCTTAATTTAATTTTCTCTTTGCGGAGTAACAAGGAAAGTTTTCTTAACAGTATGATAGGCCTATAATACGCACCTGCCACAGACTACGTTATAGACCATGTGTCAGATAACAACGCGTCTGTTCCAGCAACTGTGGTCAGCTGATGAAGAGAAACCATCCAATGAATATCGATTTTGGCTTTAATTACCCTCGAACAATAACAAGCGGCGCAGACGTACAGAATAAGATGGAGTGCCCTCTAGCGGTGAGCTCGTTTGTATAGGCAAATCTCGCGTAAAACCGCGTTATCACGAATGCTGATTGAAATTCTCGTTAACACAGACAAATGTGTGTTTACTTCCAGTGTGATGGGGTTTGGGGATACAGTAAGTGGTTTGAGTGGATGCGACGATGGACACAGTGATTGAAGGGATATTAATGTCACAGAAACCAGCCACAAATCTTAGACTACAGATTTAATCCTTTAAGATGGCTACATCTGTCTGATGTTACAAAACCTGCGTTGTACATATATAGCGGGTTTGTTGGGGCTCCTTGGTACAAAAGACAGTTTTTGATGGGCTATTTATTCCTGTACTTCAAAAAATCGTGTTATTTATACACACTTGGATATATTGCGACACACTGGGAAATATATCAATTTATTTTGGCATGGATTTACCGCTACGTGCAAAGAAAACATTGCAATAAATAAGCTTTCCTTTTCACTACACACAAAAGTAGTTTGTGTTTTGTAGAAACGGAAAAAACTAAGTAATCAGAGCTTCGAGTTGCACAGTCTTTATTCCTAATGGAAATTATATGACTCCTTTGAGAGGATTTAGAAGTTGCAGAACTAAGGAAGCTCTTCATCTCAGACTCTTCGTAATTCTGCAAGATGATCCACATAATTAAACTAGGCACATCAATTAACTACGATGTTGCCAACCTCTGACGAAGCCATTGACATCATCAGAAACCGCATGGATGAAATCCACCCTTCCCAGGTAACCATCTACAAACTGACAAACTGATGCACTCCTGCATCAGCTCCACAAACTTCACCAGGCGAGACAACATCTTTCAGCAACCCCACGGCCTCCCCATGGCCTCCCCACGGCCTCCCCATGGGTTCCCCACTGTCGCCTTTAATCACTGACATGTTCATGATCCACCTTCATTGATTGTTTGTTGTTTAACGCTGCACTCGGCAATATTCCAGCTATATGGCGGCGGTCTGTAAATAATGGCGTCTGGACCAGACAATCCAGTGATCAGTATCATGAGCATCGATCTGCGCAAGTGGGAACCGATGACATGTGTCAACCAAGTCAGCGAGCTTGACAACCCGGCCCCGTTAGTCGCCTCTTTCGACAAGCATGGGTTACTGAAGATTAATTCTAACCCGGATCTTCACGGGTCATGTGATGTGCTAGTACCGAAGGACAACAACAAGACCACAGTATATCGGAAACCAACCCACACAGACCAGTACCTTCACTACGCCTCCAACCTTCACCTCAAGTCAAGAGAGGACCATCTCCGCGCTAGCACGAGTCCACAACACCTATTCCACCAAGAAACACCTTACCACTGAACCCCATCACCTGAACAACGTCTTCAACCACTGCCACTACCACTACCTAAACAAAACATAGCATCACCAACAAAACCCAGTGAGTGTGTTTAGTTTTATGTCACTTCTTGCAATATTCCAGCAATATCACGGCGAGGGACATCAGAAATGAACTTCACACATTGTACTCATGTGAGGAATCGAACCCGAGTCTTCGGTGTGACGAGCGGACGCTTTAACTTAACCCTTATAGGCTACCCCACTGCCCCAACTAAACCCAGAAAGCCACCCGTCAACACACCGCACCCTATGTCGTCAGTGTGTAGTAAACTGGCTTCCACATGCTGCAGCGCTAACTCCAACTGACTGTAAAAACAATTGCTCACACTTGTACATATACCTTTCAATCACTCTTCTGTTAATATCTTGCTTCATAACGGTATAATTTGGAAACTATTCCGCACACTGGTTAGAACGACACCGGAACGTTGCTCCCACTGTAGAACCAGCTCATCCGTATATTGTTCTGCGTGATATGTTGATATGCATTGTTCTGAAACATTCAACTGACAACCTCTGGAAGTGACTTACCTTCTCCTTCCCCCTTGTCACCAACTGAACAGTGATGTTTTCTCGTCCGTGGACTAAAACTATTCGACCTTCAAAATTACTCCCCTGGAAGGCATGCATCAAAAGTAAAGCCTCCAACGAAATATATATTTGATCAAATCAGGCGATGGTACTGAATATCTTTTATCAAATCAGAGGACAGAACTGATGGCGACGATGACGATGATGATGACGACGACGACGACGACGACGATGATGATGACGACGACGACGATGATGATGATGACGATGATGATGATGATGATGATGATGATATTACTTTTAACTGGGAATAATAATGATATCAATACAAAAATTCAAGTCAGGTTTGTTTCGTAATTCAATCCCCATGACCGTCAGTACAGGTGTAAGAAAATAAAGTACAGTTGTAATTGAAACAAAGAAATTTATTAAACATATCAAGTTTTTAAAAAAATTATTAAAACGTAATCAAAGAAAGAGCGCTTTGTAACATTTTATACCCTTTTTGTCCTCTCCCTGACTTCCAGAGAGACTGAAACAGCTTTCACTCACAGCTGTGGAAACAAACCCATCTTCCTCGGATACATAATTAAACATGGATATTCAGGGTATTGTTCGTCAAATATTTATTGATATATTCACGTTTTGTGAGTGCAGTCCCGTCACGCATTTCAATCACTTAAACATCACTACATCTACATCACAATCACCACATGTACTCACTGCAATAAGTTTCACAGCGAAACTTATCGATCAGCAGTGCCGCATCCGAGGTGGATCGATACATGTACAGTTGGTAGACAGGAAGCCAGAGATCGGCGGTTGGTGTAAAATTCCCCAAGGATATTTTACGTGTGCTTCCGTTTGCCCTTTAAGGCCACGAGAAAGAAATAAGCTGGACGTTTGTAAACATATGGTTTTATTTGAAGTTTTTAAAGGAGCTTTTTTAACCGAAGATCGATGGGTCGGGTTTCTGTTTGATTGATTTAAATAGATTTCTAAATTTCAGATTGTGTCTCTGGATGTTGGGGGAAGACAATAAGCAACAATTTTGTAACATAACAAAGGTAATTTACGGGATTTATACTCACCGCGTAAGGTAGATGCATATAGAAATAAATTTAAAGACGAGTGAACCAAACATATTTAACTAACGGCAACCCAACTGCAGTCCACTAATAATTACCTCCCTTGATAAAACTACATTCCTATCTCCTACTATTTATATGCGTTTTGACTGCACATGTAACATTGATAACATTTGGACGCATGCCTTACTTTCATGTTATAATGTCTTTACTATATACTATTGTAAATTATTGTTGTTTCTGAGCAATTATATTCTTTATGATTGCAGTTCTTATTTTCATAAAGAAAACGGAAAGAGTCAGTAGTATACCATGTATTCCCGTACAAATATCCGATCATCATGGCTGCCGCCGAGTTGGAGAAAGCCCTTGCACTTAAATTAACGAATAAGGCTGGAGCAATTGACATTTTGTCTGGAATAGGTGAGAAATCGTCAAAAAACACATTTCAGCTCTGCTTTCCCACAATTTACAAGAATTTTGCTAGAGATTGTGTCTCATTATCTTGCTGCTTGATTTGCCGGTCTTCAAATTCTGCACAATCATGCAAACAACACATGTCAACATATCGAATTTGAATCATCACTGGCATCAATGGGTTGTTTCAGTGTAGTCGTTGGGATTTAGGTAATATTTATATTGTTATCGGGCATCATTGTTTGCTGTAAAGAGTGTCCCACGAGCCGAAGACAACACATCACATTGTACTGTTGTCTCCTAAATTCGCGAGTCCACGAATTTAGGATATTCATCATGTCCATGGTTTTGATATTGCTGTTCCAAACCCAAACCAATTAGTTCGTTAAGGTTTACCTGATCTTCAGAGGTTGTCTGAGCTATCCTACCTCTTTAAACATGTTAAACAAATTTATTAAATGTAATCATGGTAATTGTAAGTAAAACCATTCAAAAGTATACTATAGTTAAGTCATGACAGATTAATTATAGTAATGTAAAATAATTTTATGTTCTTTAACTTCTTTTAGAGTCCAGTATATATATATGATATTTGTACCACATTACCTGTTTCCAGTAAAGAGAGAAAGCGGAGACAAGGGTGAAGAATGGGTAAAGGTGAAGGAACAGGCTGTTCTGGAGCTTGGTGCTCTCTTTGCAGGAACAAAACAGGCCACAGGTAAATAGACAATAATGTACAGTAAGACAACATACCACAGGTAAATGGGCTGTACGACATACCACTGGTACTGTTACACAGAAAGACAACATATCACAGGTATAGATAAACAGTAGTACAACATGCCACAGGGAATTACCCCCGAACCGGCCCCAAGCCGAACCGGTCCCTGATATTTGACCCAAACCGGCCCCGAGAAGTAAATATTTCTACATTGACATATGAATTAAAGTTCCTTTAACATAAATGACGAAAACATATTACTCATATGTCTTTTAGTGTAATATCGATTTTTGAAAATATATTAGCGAATATTAGTGTCGATGAGAGGCAAGTGAACATGCAAGTGCTGCTGATCACAGAGATCCCGTGGTAGAGGACATTTTATGTAATTCATTTAAGAATCTAAAAGATCAATTGCAAAACAATACTAAAGTAAAACGTGTACTTACATTTCGTTGTATCGTATCCACAGAATTGACACATTAATTCAATACAAGAATAGCACATAAATCCAATATAATGAATTCCGCGTTCACTTTTGTTATGCCCAAGTTTCCAGTAACGAAAAATAATGTCGTCCTTTATCTTTTTGCATGTTTCCATGTGTGGAACATTTGTAAAGATTTTCAACACACATTAACCACCTTTCACAGAGTGAATTCTACTAACATTATGAAAACTAAAACATTCTTCAGCTCCAAAATTAAACTGTTATTTTACGCACGTCTCACTGAGCGATTAAAGTGAATGTGTTGTTTTAATATTTCCTTGAACGGATTATCGTGAGCGAATTAATGTACATGTTGCCTTAAGCGTATGCTCTTACTGGACACTAATTGCGTTCACTCAATGTCAACTGCACCGTATACTGTTATCTTCACCTTGCATATAATCTCATAAAAGACATTATCTGAAGGACATGATTCATAACTAAGAAGTAGCTTCAGGATGGCACAATAAGGAAAAGGAAATCTTCATGTCTGTATATATATAATAAATTAACTGAAATCTTCATGTCTGTATATGTATAATAAATTAATTGAAATCTTCATGTCTGTCTGAATAATTGTCTGTCTGATTACCGTTAATTAACCCAGGGGCCGGTTCGGGTGCGGGGCCGGTTTGAGTTAAATATCCAGGGTCGGTTGGGGTTAAATATCCAGGGGCCAGTTCGGGTGTATCCCGCCACAGGTTTATGATAGACATTCATGCTACTTGTAAAAAAGTAATCATGTTAAAAGTAATCAGAGGTTAATAGATATACAATTATTGCGAGGGACATAAATTTAGAATTATGAATGTGTAAGATTCTAAAGAAAGCACTAAACGTTTGATCATGATATCACTTATTTTTTCTGTATGTCCACAGTGAATTTGATGTCATTTGTAACTTAGAATGTTTGCTTGTCAGAGGAATTCTTTTATCATTGATCAAAGTGCCAGAGTGAAGACTCACTTGCATCACATTTTGAGCTCTAGTTATGCCTGAGAAATGTTACTTTTTGTTGTGCTTTGATATGTGTACTTTATTTGTACATGGTAGTGTATTTTGACTAAATATTTGGATTTTAGAGTTAGCCGGCCTGATTAAGTTCACGCGACCATTCCTGGGTATGGTGAGCAAAGCAAAGGCAGCGAAGTTGGTGCGAGCTCTTGTTGACCTGTTTTTGGACATGGAAGCAGGGACCGGTAAAGAGGTATGCTTACAGGACTGTTTGTCTTGTAACCATGTCAACTGTTTGAGATTATGAAAGAATATGTTAGTTTATTACAATAGGGACTTAAACACATCATTCTCAATGTCTTGATGGAAATACATGTTTTCGCATTGCTTTAGATGCAATCTTGCTGTAATTGATACACATTTCATTCTTTGTTGATATTAATGTAACAGTTGTTTCTAAGGTTCGTCAGACTGTATCTTGTAAGTTGGCCATGTCAAAACTTGACTATTTACAGGCCACAGTGATCTTGTATCTTGATTGTTCTTGATTGCTTACTTGGCAGTTTCACTTACTTGTGATTGAGGTAGACTGACGAAGTGGTCACTTCAAATGCTGTAAAGTGACACTGCTGAATTAATCTATACATCATATTGAAAAGTAAATACAATTGTTATATATTGGGTAAGTGATGAAATGCTATATCTACAAAAATAGGAAATATATGTTCCTGAAGTGAAATATCATGTCTGTCGGAACTGCTTTCAATCTGCCTTAACAACACAGGGACATTCAACATAAAATAATATATTTCATGATAAAAATTCAAAGTCTTATACAATGCAGATATGTACACCCAGTATGTGCAAATGTATAGAATGAATGCAGGAAAAAATACATATTGCATCCTGAAGGACACACAACGATACACATTGTACCAACTTATAGTTCTGTAGGCTACGGTAAAACCCTGAAAATACACTCTGTACTCAATGATGATATGTTGAACATGTGGCCGTATCATGTTTATTTTCAAATAACATGTTATTTGCATCTCTTGTGCCAATTTTGAGAATATTTGTCAGGTCATCCACTGTCAGGTCTATAATTGATGCTTTTCAGATCCGTTTTGGCTGTCATGGTAATTTTCACTGAATATTGTTTTCAGGTTGAACTCTGTCAGGAATGCATTGACTGGGCCAAAGATGAAAAGAGGACATTCCTTAGACAAGCCCTAGAGGTGAGCAGAGCTAATGGAGGACATTTTCATTTGCTTGGTTGGTTGTTGTTTACGCCACACTCAGCACTGTCAGTAGTATTCCAGCTATATGGCAGCAGTCTGTAAATAATGGATCTGGACCAGACAATCCAGTGATAAACAGCATGAGCATCAATCTACGCAACTGGGATACAATGACATGTCAACCAAGTCAGGGAACCAGATGTGCAGTGGTATTGGGGTAGCATAGTGGCTACTGGGCTTGCACACACCGAAGACCTGGGTTCGATTTCCCACATGGGTAAAGTGTGTGAAGCGTATTTCTGGTGTCCTTGCTGTAATGAAGCTGGAACATTACTAACTGCAACTTAAACTAAACCACTGGCATAACAGAATCATCGTCAATGGCAACCGATAAATAAAATATAATGATTGTCAGTATTTGGGTTATCTAAATATCGTAACATAATATCATAATTTGCCAAAACACAGGGATTAGTGAGATAGAGTGGTAATTGAAGCTTTGCTGTTTAATTGTCAATGTTGTGTCTATCTTAATTTGAGAAAATAAACAATTTGAGAAGATTCCAAGATTTCCTGTATGTTTAGCATGGAATCTTAGATGAATTCCTACCCTTGAAGATCCGGGTTAGAATTGGTCTTCAGGAACCTATACGTGTCATAAGAAGTGACTTCAGTCCCCCCTGGATTCCACGGCAAAAAAAATGAAATTCTGCGGCGAATTTAAGTAAATTCTGCATTTGAATTTTACAAATTCTGCACAAAATTCTGCAATGATATAACTGCTAAAACTTTGTTACTTGACATCAAATTGAACACAAATAAAAGGCTTGTAACATATACCATGTTTTTATTCTTTAACTTGACATGTTACGTTAAGATTAAGTCAATTCAGGCAGCTCTGGGAGAGCAGGAAGTGGAGATTCAACTACGGGACGGTCTGGATCTTCTGGAAGAATATTGGGAATATCTGCCATTGTCTCTTGATTGAACTTGTCATACTGGAGTCTCTGATTGTAGTTAAGAAATACCAATGCTTTGACTGAGTCTGTTTTCAGGGATCTTCGGCGTCCTGTCAATACAAGGTTATAGAGGGAAAAGCTGCGCTCTGCATCAGCTGAATTAGTAACAGCATTCACGTATCGCCTAGCAAGTTTTGCTAAGCATGTGATTCCATATTGTGCCATAGTTCAGATCAAAACTGTTAGACTTCACATGACTAACATAAACGATTGTGACGTACACTATGTACGTTTAAAAATGCCTACCCAACTTTTAGTAACACCTGGTTTAGCTGGCTGAATGGGGTTCGCTGAATGACATGTTTGAAGTTTGGATGATTTGTAAACAAGTCGACTGTTATTCAAAATTCTGCATGAAATTTTATGAATTCTGCGGCGAGGAATTGCAAATTCTGCAGTGTTCTGCATGAAAATTGCTTTTCTGCGGCTTAGATGATATTCTGCACTCGGAGGTGAATTCTGCAAAATATTCCGTGACCGCGGAATCCAGTGGGGACTGTGACTTTATCGGATTGGGTGGTGAGATTTGCTGACTTGGTTGACACATGTCGTCGTATCCCAACTGCGTAGATCGATGCTCATGCTGTTAATCACTGGATTGTTTAGTCCAGACTCGATTATTTACAGACTGCTGCCATATATAAAGCTGCAATACTGCTGCTTACTGCATTAATTTAAACAACAATCAACTAGATAAATTCCTGAAAACAAACTCACTATGTCATGTGTATTCAAATGACTTTTTTGTTCCATTACAGGCTCGGCTCATTGCTCTCTACTTTGATACCAAGAGCTATCAGGGAACGCTGGCGCTAGGTAAGAGTTGGCACAAACATACACAGACAATATACCATTTCTTTTGTAAGCAGGGTCATTCTGCTGAATAGGTTTCAAAATACCTTTTGCAGTTAATGTTTTTATCTTCAGTAGCTGCTTGGAGATTTGATCAAGTTGATGATGATGATGACGCTGATGTGTATGTCAGTCACCTGTTTGTCTGGCCCAGAATCCCATATGGACAGGCTGCCATTATAACTGAATACTGCCAAACAACATAACATCTGTAATTCTTTTCTGACCAACCCATGAAAATCTTGGTTCGGGTTGGTCTTCAGCAACCCATGATTGTCATAAGAGGCGACGAATGGGATCCAGTGGTCAGCCTTACTTGGTTGACGTCTCATCGTAATTCTTCTCGTATGTTATTTTCATGGATCTATGCTCATGATGTCAAGCACTGGTCCAGACATAATTATTTACAGTCCACAGTCATACAGCTGGAATATTGTTGATTGCGGCGTTAATACAACAAACAAAATCTTTATGGAATATATGATATTGGTTTGGGTTGTTTCCCTTTCTGTACAATTAATTTGACTGATGCTCATACTGTTGATCACTGGATTGTCTGGTCCAGAATTTATATACAGACCGCCGCCGCCATATAGTAGGAATATTGCTGAGTGCGGCGAGAAACAACAAACCAAAACCAAACCCTTTCTGCATTTCTCCAGATGTATGACCCATGGAGATCCGGGTTAGAATAGGTCTTCAACAACCCATTCTTGTCATAAAAGGCGACTATGCTTGTCGTAAAAGGCGACTAAGGGGATCGGGTGGTCAGGCTCACTGACTTGGTTGACACATGTTATCGGTTCCCAATTGCTCATGCTGTTGATCACTGGATTGTCTGGTCCAGACCGATTATTTACAGACCGCCGCCATATAGCTGGAATATTGCTGAGTGAGGCCTAAAACTAAACTCACTCACTCACTCTCCAGATGTATAGTGGGAGCCTGTTGAACAAACCAGTGATCTATATGTCAAGCATCCAAGTGTGGGAATGACGTCACAAATTCATCACGTCATCACTGCCTATCAGTCTCAGTGCCACTTAAACAAGCATAGGGTCCAGTCTATGACTACTTGCTATGTGTAACAACCCAGGGATTTGCTTCAGCATCAAGCTTGCTGAAGGAGCTGAAGAAGCTGGATGACAAGGCTCTGCTGGTGGAGGTGCAGCTCCTAGAGAGCAAGATCTACCACGCACTCTCCAACCTGCCAAAAGCCAGGTAATAAGATTCCACAGTATAACCATTCTCTTCCCACAGAGGTTACTCCTGTCATATCTTCCTACGTAACCTCTGTTCTAATACGGCCCTTTCATGGTGTGAGCGTTCAAGACTCGTGATTGGAGGCAATCAGATTTAGTTGTGCAATCAGCGACGTTGTTTCAAAAGTGATCATTCGCAATGCCTCGGTAATTTCCGTATGCTTCGAGAAAACTAAACCTCTTCCCCTGCGCGATGCGCAAACGTTTCTTCTAGACAGAGCTCAGTCATGTTATGGCAGATCAGTGGCGTCTCCATCGCCCTCGTTGACAACGGACAAGCTAGCCATTAAAAGTCTTGTGTGTAACATCAACACAAGTCCCCGGCAGATGGGGGAAATTTGTGGCCGCACATTTGCTTGTGTTAGTCAAGTTGAATCTAAGTCGATGTAACACGTGTTCTGATTGGATAGAAAGAAGGGAGATCATTCGTCTTGCGATCTTTTGCCGCTAGGGGATTTTACGAGAACCGGGAAATATGGCCGTATTAGAACAGAGGTTCGTGGGAAGATATGACAAGTAACCTCTGTGGGAAGAGAATGCAGTATAACCTGTACACCACTATTAGGGCTGTAAAGATGCATCGAACCATCAATGGATTGCAATTGTTGAATCTCCTATGGCAATTAGTTGATGGTAGAAACGAAAAACTATCAATGCATCGATAGTATGTGTGACTATCAATAGTTTGACAATTGACTTCTGTTGATAAATGCGCAGCACTAAATACATGAAGTACCAGATTTGTTCTGTTGATTTTTTTTTATTGTTTGGGTACAGAGTTGCAGTTTCATAGAGTTTATAGTTTAACTGTTTACTTGATTTGGGTTTCAAGTTTCTTGTCAGTTATTAAAAGAGACTGAAACAACTAATAGTATTGCAATAGTTGGTCGCAATAGACTATCAATATAGCAATAGACTATCACAATAGTGTTTCCCCCTCAATAGTCACCTCTAACCAAAATACTGCTATTTGTTATTGTTTTACTTATTGCAAGGTTCACAAGAGCTTTTGTCATTTAACCCAAAATCGACAGGCATTTGTTCATTTGTTTTGCATCAAATTTAACTGAAGAAAAGGAATCATGTGCATGATATTTCTCTCAAATTATCTCCCCTTTGTCCATGACTACAAAATGGCAGCTGAGTAATATCTGCATCAGCATGTTGAAAATAAAACATGCATGTACATCCCGTGTCATTGTCAAACACTTCAGGGGGCGGTGGGGTAGCCTAGTGGTTAAGGTGTTCGCTCGTCATGCTGAACACCCGGGTTCGATTCCCCCACATGGGTGCAATGTGTTAAGCCCATTTCTGGTGTTCCCAGCCGTGATATTGCTGGAATATTGCTAAAAGCGGCGTAAAACCAAACTCACTCACTCACTCAAACACTTCAGCACCCAACATATAGTTCAAGTATTTAACTTTACACAATAATATTCCAGGCTTGCTGACTTGGTCAACATATGTCATCGTATACCAGTTGGGTAGATTGATGCTCATAATGTCAGTCACTGGATTGTCTGGTCCAAAGTTGTTAGTTTACAGACCACCGACATATAGGTGGAATATTGCTGGGTCTGGTGTTAAACAACAAACAAGCAAGCAATAATATTTATCTGAATATAAGAAAATAGATGTGGAGAGCACAAATGGCAAGGTTGTTCAAGATGAGATTCCCAAATCGTAGTTTGAATCAGATTTGTCCTAATCATGATTCTTGGTTAGTAGGCACCATACCCGTGCTCATTGGTTTCAAGGGGCGGTGATGTAACCTGATGGTTTAAGCTTCCGCTGTAAAGACCCGGGTTCGCAAAATACACCACATGGGTACAATGTGTGAAGCCCATTTCTTGTGTACCCCAATTTTTTCCACACACACACACACACCCACCACCCCGCCATGATATTGCTTGAATATTGCTAAAAGTTGCATAAAACCTCACTCACTCACTAATTGGGATTTCAGGTTCTCAGTAAAGTAGGGATTATAGTATTTATTTGGGTTGAGTCCCATCTGGAATTCAATCCCACACTCTCAGAGTCAGGCACCTTATCGCTTTTTGCAGCTGTTGTAGTTTCCATAAAAATGTAGACTTGTAGTCTCAATCACATGCTTTGTGTACCCCCATGCAGGCAGTCAGATGCCTCGCTCTGGGAATGTGGGCTCAAATCCTAGGAGATGCTCAACCCAAATAATTACTAGAATTAGCACTTTTTGGAAAAAGTGTAGTCGTAAATATTACATGGTAATTTTACTACTTTCTAAAAGGCATAGTGTATACATACATATTGTATAGTGTCAGTAGTCTTTTGCAAATATCACCACCTTATTTCAAATAGGTCCCCAGCAACCTGTGCTGGTTGTAAGAAACTATTTCTTGGACAGGGTGGTACAAATTGTTTAATGGTGTGTGTTCATATCCTGATGGAATGGATCAGCATATTTAGAAGCTGGAATACTGCCGAGTGCAGGGTAAAACAAAGCGCATGTGCATACCATCACACTGGTCCCCAAAAGAGGCACCCGTGAAGATCCGGGTTTAGAATTGATCTTCAGTAACCCAAGCTTGTCGGAAGAGGCGACTAACAGGATCAGTGGTCAGGCTGGCTGACTTGGTTCACACATCATCGGTTCCCAATTGTGTAGGTTGATGCTCATGCTGTTGATCACTGGATTGTTTAGTCCAGACTCGAATTATTTACAGACCGCTGCCATATAGCTGGAATATTGCTGAGTGCGGCATAAAACTTAAACTCACTCCCAAAAGAGACTTACATATAAGAACTACCTTGTATTTTGAAGATGGAATATTGCTGTTTGAAGGTTTAGAAAATGCCCACATGTACTCAACAAAGCCAAAGGCTGCTTTCTCCCAAAACAAGGCTTACACCATCATGCTAATAAATAACTGCCTTCATTTGGGTTTTTGGGTTAAATACCATGAGATATCAATTTCAAAAATATTTTGTTCTTTGCAAGTGCCATTCAAGATCTACTTTTAGTTTAGAAAATATGGTCCACATGTAGTTAGCAATGGTTGAGACATTCTTTTATGAGGTGTCATGTTATTTTGAGCATCCAGCCTTATGTATTGACAGATGAATACCTTGAAGACTGCCTCATCTTACCTGTAACCTGTGAAGATCCGGGTTAGAATTGATCTTCAGCAATTGCGTAGATCGATGCTCTTGCTGTTCACTGGATTGTCTGCGTAAAACTAAACTCACTCACTCACTCATCTTACCTGTTGTTTATCATTCAGAGCTGCACTGACATCTGGTAGAACGACAGCCAATGGCATTTATTGCCCACCCAAACTACAAGCTGCCCTTGACCAGCAATCAGGTGAGCTATTCTGGATGTTTTCAAGTTATACTTGTATTCACCTGTTTGTCTGGCCCAGAATCATATATGTACAGGACACTATAACTAAATACTTTATAACATAACATCTGTAACTCCTAAGGGGTGATTGAGCCATGAAGGTCCGGGTTAGCATATTGATCTTAGTACCCATGCTTGTCGTAAGAGGCGACTAACGGGATCGGGTGGTCAGGCTCGCTGACTTGGTTGACACATGTTATCGGTTCCCAATTGCGCAGATCGATGCTCATCTGTTGATCACTGGATCGTCTGGTCCAGACTCGATGATTTACAGACCGCCGCCATATAGCTGGAATATTGCTGAGTGCGGCATAAAACTAAACTCACTCACTCACTATAAAGGGTGATTAACGCGATTGGGTGGTCAGGATCGCTGACTAGCTGAGCCTGTATATTTCAACCATTATGTTTGTCTATCTGATTGTTTCTAACAACATATCTTTCTACCATTTTGTTAGTCAACCTTGACTAATTCTACAAATATATTTGTCTACCTGAATCTTCCTACTATTACTTTCATCTACCTGTTTCTGCCATTATGTTTGCCAGTCTGAACCTTCCTACCATTATGTTTACATGTGTGAACCTTCCTACCATTATGTTTGCTTGTCTGAACCTTCCTACCATTATGTTTACCTGTCTGAACCTTCCTACCATTATGTTGACCTGTCTGAACCTTCCTACCATTATGTTTACCTGTCTGAACCTTCCTACCATTATGTTTACCTGTCTGAACCTTCCTACTATTATGTTTGCCAGTCTGAACCTTCCTACCATTATGTTTACCTGTCTGAATCTTCCTACTATTACATTTATCTACCTGTTTCTGCCATTATGTTTACCTGTCTGAACCTTCCTACCATTATGTTTGCCTGTCTGAACCTTCCTACCATTATGTTTGCCTGTCTGAACCTTCCTACCATTATGTTTACCTGTCTGAACCTTCCTACCATTATGTTTGCCTGTCTGAACCTTCCTACTATTATGTTTGCCTGTCTGAACCTTCCTACCATTATGTTTACCTGTCTGAACCTTCCTACCATTATGTTTGCCTGTCTGAACCTTCCTACCATTATGTTTGCCTGTCTGAACCTTCCTACCATTATGTTTGCCTGTCTGAACCTTCCTACCATTGTTTGCCTGTCTGAACCTTCCTACCATTATGTTTGCCTGTCTGAACCTTCCTACCATTGTGTTTACCTGTCTGAACCTTCCTACCATTATGTTTACCTGTCTGAACCTTCCTACCATTATGTTTGACAGTCTAAACCTTCCTACCATTATGTTTTTCTACCCGAAGTTATGGTTGTTTTCCATTTCTCCAGGTATACTTCATGCAGCTGACGAGAGAGACTTCAAGACAGCTTACTCTTATTTCTACGAAGCATTCGAAGGCTACGATTCGGTTGACAGCCCCAAAGCTATCACAGCACTTAAATATATGTTACTGTGCAAAATCATGCTGAATCTGTAAGTGTGTGAATGTAGCATTTGATCAAATATTGTATCAGCCTTTACTGTATTAGTTAACTCTACTGTTGTCCCTGGAATCATTAGGCAAATACTAAATGTTATTTCTCATGGGGTTTTATGAAGTTAAACTGGTCACATGTGAGCAGTTGTCTGTGCAGAGTTGCTTCCCTTGGGTGTGCCAGAAATCTATGGTCATGTGTTTGAATCCAGGTTCGCCCTGATCATGTTTCTGGATTTTCAGCGGGTTTCACCAAAATGGTAAATGTTTGAATCTACATCACATTAGATTTTCCTCGTAAATCAAGCTGTTGACATGATTTACACATTAGCTGTATATAACTGAAACACTCATGTATTCTGTAATTAGTCTCTGGAAAAGGGGGGGCGGTGGGGTAGCCTAGTGATAAAAGCGTGCACTCGTCATTGCGAAGACCCGGGTTCGATTCCCCACATGGGTACAATGTGTGAAACCCATTTCTGGTGTCCCCGCCGTGTAAAAAAAAGCGGCATAAAACTAAACTCACTCACTCACTCTCTGGAAAAAACTACTATAATTGAAACAGTATAAAGTGGCATTAAACAATCTGTAGAGTTAGAGTAAGTATGGTTTGTCGCCTCTTTAAGTCATATTCCAGCAGTACCATGCCAGGAGACACCAAAAATGGGCTTCACACGGTGTACCTACTAAGGGAATTGAACTGGGTCCTCCAGCATTGCAAGCGAACACTCTAACCATTTGGTCACCCCATGGAGGATGATTACACTGAGGATGAGTTCTATGTAATGTAGACACATTTGAAATGTCTATAACCTAATCCTGTCTCGTACAACAGTGCCGATGAGGTACACGCCATCGTAAGCGGCAAGCTGGCTCTCAAGTACACAGGCCAAGAGGTGGACGCCATGAAGAGTATAGCCCAGGCTAGCCACAAGCGATCGCTGGCAGACTTCCAGAAGGTAAATGTCAGATGTCTGTACAGATGTGAGTTTATGTTGAGAATACAAAACATTGATATGACCAATAAAATGGAAAAATGGAGCAATTGAGAGCCTATGAATGGAATTAGAATCGTTAGAATGAATTTTGGTTCTCAATAGTTTGAAACAATAATCTGCCAAGTAATTAATAGTGACAATGAAATATCAATATTACTGAATTCAGATGAGCATACCTGTTTTAATTTCAAACCCTGCATATTTCTTTTCCACGCACTTGAAATTGAAAGATTGAATATGATATATATCAATGCCCTTTTTGTCATGACAATAGCTTTTGTCAACAGTAACTATCAATATGGCCCAATGTATTTGTGAGCCAGGTAGAGAATTAGGTGAATCTGCAAAGGCTTCAGGACTAAACAATACTTTGTAGACACTTGATCAGATGTATTCCCGATAGGTATATTTATCTGCAGCAACCATACTTATGTGGTTGTCACAACCCACTTGTGTGGATCAAAGCTCAAGATGTTGTGGACCACTTGATCCTCGGGTCCACACTTGATTTTTTAAAAGGGTACTATTGTCATATAGCTGCAGGGTGATGGAAATAGGACAGGTGAAAAGTAGATGTTCACTTGTTCTGATTATTGACCAAAAAGGTTATTTATAAAAATTGGTGTCCCTCTACCCTTGTTTTGTAAGTTGACTTGGTTCCAGGACAATTGCCTTGCCATCTGTGTGAAGGGGAGATAACTCTGGCAGACATAGCAAGATCTTTACCCAGGGAACAGTTTTTCATGCTTACTAGGACTGTAACAATGCATCAAACTATCGATGGATTGCAATTGTTGAGTCTCCGATAGCAATTAATTGATGGTAAAAACGAAACGATATTTTTGTAATTGGTGGTCATTTATTTTTATTGAATATTTATGTTTTGTATTTTTTTTGGTTTGGTTGCAGACTTGCAGCTTCATTGAGTTTATGTTATTTGCTTGATCTGGGTTTCAAGTTTCTTGTCAGTTATTAAAAGAGACTGAAACTACTTCAACTTGTTTATATTTCATATAAACTATGCATTCATCTGGGAAATGACTTCCAGTAGGATAATTCAAGGAGAGAAAAAACTGTTGCAATAGACCATTGCTATCGCAATAGTAGTTTTCCCCTCAATAGTCACCCCTAGTGCCCACTGATCTTGGCCATCAACACAGCTTGGCCAAGTAATGCTGAGGAAGGATAGCAATAGATGGATGAACAACTTCTTTATAGCTGTGAGAGCGACGTTTCAGTGTAGGTTCTAACACCGTTATCAAGCAAGTCATCAATGTATGGATGAACAACTTCTTTATTGCTGTGAGAGCAACGTTTCGGTGTAGGTTCTAACACCGTTATCAAGCAAGTGATGAACAGCATAAGAATAGAGGAGCATATATGCAAGTTAAAGTAGTTGTTTGTACAGTACAATAGGGATTAGGAAGCCAGACACAATAACAACACAAGGGCTTTGATAAAAGCGTTAACAAATGAAGCCTACGAAGTAAACAAGGGGATGGTAAAGCCTGTGGTATACAAATAATGCTGACCGGGGGTGGAAATAACTTTAAAATTGCTAGTGTACTCCGGAACAGTGGAACATATAAAATCACTTGCCCTGATAATTTTTCCACTATACCGGACGTTTTATTGTTGATTTTTGTAAATAAACAACATAATTAACATTGGAAAGTCAGCTGGACACCGGGTACAGTGTGATATACAAATTTGCTTGCCCGACAGAAAAAAACACTGGCCTTGGGCAATGGGTTATTTCCACCCCTGCTGACTAAAATATTGTTTAGATCATCTGGCTTGACACTTTGAGTCCCCAAGGCAACTGACTGGGATCTCAACTTCCCACGTGGGTACAATGTGTGAAGCCCCATTCCTGGTGTCCTCCGCTATGGTATTTCTGGAATATTGCTAGAAGTGGCGTAAAACCATACTCACTCACTCACTATCTCAACTTGTACCTATTTCAGACTCTGGCAACATATAAGGTCCAGTTAGAAGATGACCCCATCGTGAATGCTCATCTGAAGACACTTTATGACAACTTACTGGAACAGAATCTGTGTAGAATCATCGAGCCTTTCTCTCGAGTTCAAGTACAGCACATAGCTGGCCTTATCAAGTTACCTGTGGTAAGTGTATGCTCAGTTGGCGTACGGTCAGGACAGATCCAGACTAACATTTAGTCTCTGAATATGTATACATGTAATTTTGATTGTAACACATCAGTAGCTGAATCGCTGGTTAAACTCTGTGTTTTATTATCATCTGACATTTGGCGTCTGCTCGCGGGAATGTACTGAGCATGACTGATACACTAGCGACACCTGTCGCTAGATGTCACATGACTGGTCACGTGATTACAGTTAAATTGAAAAGGAGCCCCAGGGGAACCAGGTGGAGAAGTCTGGACATGCTTCATTAGGGCTTTAGTATTGCAGGGAGGGCTAGGCTGGGGGGAATATAATGTGGTTCAGGGACTGTGAGACAGACTACGCAGACCCATGAAGATCCAGGTCAGCCCAGTGGTTAAAGCGTTCGCTCGTCACACCGAAGACGTATTTCCTTCTAATAGCAGAATATCTTTGCTATCTGAAATTTGAAAACAACAATTCATGTTTTGATTCCTCACCAAAAAGGGAGAATATGAAATAAAAGTGCTGTATTTTGATACGGATCATTGCACAATATTATCAAGGTACATCTCCATCATAGCCAACTGACTGGTTCCAGTGCCACGGTTTATCCTGCGTGTTCTGGTGAGCAGATCCAAGCTATTGGCCATTAATGGAAATATACTTGTAGGTGCTAGGTCTGCAGCAACTCCGCAGGGACGAACGTATGATACATCTCACGAATATTGGGTAATGATTATAACATGTCAGCAGTTGATCTATTGTTCAGTATGCAGTGGTCTCCATCTAAACCAACATCCCTCTAATCTGACATTCCCTGTACACCGACATATTTATTTGGTCCTGAATTTGTCCCAATATAATTTCATGTAAGAAATTCCTCTAATCCGACACTCAAATCTGGTCCCAAAACATGTTTGTAGTGCAAATTGACTCTTTCTAAGCCGACATTGTAATTTCACAAGAGATTGTATCAGCCAAAACATAGTGTGTATTTGAGATAGCAATCAACACACTTGGGCGAGAGGTATCCCACCAAAGTGTGATAGGATTGATTAACTGTTATAGTCTGTTTGCAGTGAAAACGTACCGATGTATTTCACTTTAAACAAAAAAGTAAATCAAATAAAGTGAAATTAAGACTGCAAATCCTCATAATTTTGCCTTGCCAACTGAACATTTAAATCTCAGAATTTTATTCATTGTAGGACAAATGTTGTTTAACAAACGATCATATATTCAAATTGCTATTATTGGTTTCTATTACAAGGGGGCAAGAGCAGTAGTTGGAACAGTGAAACAAATGCACGTGCGGTTCGTGATGAGCGTTAACTTAGACCAACTCTACATGTACTGGTGTTTCATTTAATGTGCATACACCCTTGTCATACAAACCATTAATAACGATTTGAAACTATGATCGTTTGTTAAACAACTTTTATCCTAAGTTGAAATTTTTTCTGAGATTTAAGTGTTCAGTTGGCAAGGTAAAATTATGAGGATTCGCAATCTTGATTTCATCCTATTCGATTTACATTTTTGTTTAAATTGACATTCATCGGTATGTTTTCAATGCAAACAGACTTTAATTACTTGCTAACTTCTTGTTCAATGGTTTCATAGATTGGTGCAGTCACATGTTAAGTGCTTGTTATGATTCATTGACATTGACATTGAGATCATCTCAGTTTAGCATGAGTATTGACAGTCAGTGCCACCAACACATATTATAATGAGAAGTCATGGTCAGTTACTGCACTACACGTCACAATGGCTACCCATTGAAAGCATAATACAGAAGTGCTTTCATGCCTGTGGTTTTCTTTGTTTTTCTCAGTGTGGTTTAATTTTGAATTGAGTTTCGAAAAACTCTAAACAACATCCCTCTAAACCAACATCCCACTAAACTGACTTCTTTTTCAGAAGAAGTCCTCCTTGGGGTACTTATAAGCATTAAAATGTCCGTTTTAAAAGCCTACGACAGTTGTGACTATATTTTAATAAAAAATATTTACAAAACGAAAAACACGTTCTGTGTTATGAGACCACCCCTACAGGGCCCCCACGGGGCCCCCTACCGGCAAGAGCAGGTAACTCTAGCCGACAACCTCGCACCTCACCTCACCTCATTTTTCACCTATCCCGAGCGATGTTGGTTTAGGGGGAGTCCACTGTATTCAGTGAAGCAAAGTAAATTTCTTGGCTATGTTGATCTATTTATTGTTGTAGCAATTAATGCAGTCACCACATTACTGCCAAATTAAATATATAACAGTGTTTACTATTATCCTGCTTGGTATATTCCATTTTGCAGATCTTGCTTTGATAAATGAAATCCCAATTCAAGTAAAAACCTTTAAGAAATGAATGAATATTTCATTCTAGTTATTGCAAAGAACGAATTGAATGCATGAAGGAATGTTGTTCATATATGTGAGTAACATAACAGCCCCAGTGGATGCTAATAGCAGCAACATTTGATTTCTTTGACTGGATGATCAACCAGTCCTCAAAAGTTTGAGTGAGACACAATGTTCACTATGTTCCTTTCTGTCAGAACTTACTCTGAATAATAACTCTAAATTACTACTAGTCAGTGAGAACTACAACAATGCTTCAGCCAGGCAAGCGCCATTGCGCCATTCACACTAAAAAATATGCAATGGCACTTTTTTTCAATGTTAGAGCGCCCATTGGCACACATTTTATATAATCCACACGTTTTCTATACCACGATTACCATGAATGGCAAAAGTCGCAACTACACTGGCACACATTTTATATAATCCACACGTTTTCTATACCATGATTATCATGAATGGCAAAAGTCGCAACTACACTGGCACACATTTTATATAATCCACACGTTTTCTATACCATGATTATCATGAATGGTAAAAGTCGCAACTACACTGGCACACATTTTATATAATCCACACGTTTTCTATACCACGATTACCATGAATGGTAAAAGTCGCAACTACACTGGCACACATTTGATATAATCCACACGTTTTCTATACCACGATTATCATGAATGGTAAAAGTCGCAACTACACTGGCACACATTTTATATAATCCACACGTTTTCTATACCATGATTATCATGAATGGTAAAAGTCGCAACTACACTGGCACACATTTTATATAATCCACACGTTTTCTATACCACGATTACCATGAATGGTAAAAGTCACAACTACACTGGCACACATTTTATATAATCCACACGTTTTCTATACCATGATTATCATGAATGGTAAAAGTCGCAACTACACTGGCACACATTTTATATAATCCACACGTTTTCTATACCACGATTACCATGAATGGTAAAAGTCGCAACTACACTGGCACACATTTTATATAATCCACACGTTTTCTATACCATGATTATCATGAATGGTAAAGTCGCAACTACACTGGCACACATTTGATATAATCCACACGTTTTCTATACCATGATTATCATGAATGGTAAAAGTCGCAACTACACTGGCACACATTTTATATAATCCACACGTTTTCTATACCATGATTATCATGAATGGTAAAAGTCGCAACTACACTGGCACACATTTTATATAATCCACACGTTTTCTATACCACGATTACCATGAATGGTAAAAGTCGCAACTACACTGGCACACATTTTATATAATCCACACGTTTTCTATACCACGATTACCATGAATGGTAAAAGTCGCAACTACACTGGCACACATTTTATATAATCCACACGTTTTCTATACCACGATTACCATGAATGGTAAAAGTCGCAACTACACTGGCACACATTTTATTAGTTAAGTTGCCACTGGCAACACTCAAACAATCCTGGCTGAAGCACTGCTACAATGATTGGATTTTTGCTTGTCCTCGGCATTATTTGGTGGTCTCTTGCTATCAGACCAGCATGAATTTCGAAGAAAGAATGATCTACATCATATCTCTAAGATCACTTTCTGAATGGAATATGAACTTGAAGATCAAGCTACCCACTTGAGGCTCTGTGTATTTGTTGAGACTAATACAACCAATATTTTCTTTTACAGGCAGTAGTAGAAAAGAAATTATCCCAGATGATTTTAGACAGAAAGTTCCATGGTGAGTAGAAAATTGGATTCTCAGAGTCATATGATGTCTGTAGGTCCCTCATCGTCATTCTATTTTAGCAAGGACCCGTGAAGGTCCGGGCTAGAATTGTTCTTCAATAACCCATGCTTGTCATAAGAGGCGACTTACAGGATCAGGTGGTCAGGCTCGCTGACTGAGTTGACACATGTCATCGTATCCCAATTACGTAGATCGATGTTCATGCTGTTGATCACTGGATATTCTGGTCAAGACTCAATTATTTACAGACCGCCGCCATATTACTGGAATATTGCTGAGTGCGGCATAAAACTAAACTCACTCACTCACTGTATTAGCAAAGGTCCTCGGCAGCCGTATCTTGAATTGGCAGGCTTGGCTTGGGTGGTCAGACACAGCAAGGAACAGGGCTTGTTTTGTCCAAGAGAACTCCTGCGTAAAAGGCTATGTAATTAGATGGTCAGGCTCGCTGACTGGATTGATTGCTTGGTAGACTGATGCTCATGATATCAGTCACTGGACTAGTAGTCCTGACTTGATGTACAGACCACTATCATATATAACAAATGTTACATTTGGAATTACACTTTCTTAGTAAAGTACAGATTCTTGTACTTTTGTTGGGCTGAGTCCCATCCAGGATTCAAACCCATGCCCTCAGAGTCAGGCATCTTGGAAGTCGCGGTCGCTAAGCGGGTTAGGCGACTGACTTTGTGTGCTAGCGACTAGGTGCCTGATTCTGAGGGCGTGGGTTTGAATCCCGGATGGGACTCAGCCCATTAAAGTACTAGAATCTGTACTTTACTAAGAAAGTGTAATCCCAAATATAACATATGTTCCATTTGACCACTATCTAAATGGCATTGTGTAATCACACCATCATATAGTTGGTACATTAAAAAAAGCTGGAATATTTGGAAACTAATCAAAATCACTACATTTGTTAGAAATTCTGCTGTTGGGATTCTGGGTAGGATTCAGGTAAAGTGACAATGTTGACAGTATGTTATCTACCAAAACAACTTAGTTGATGCTCAGGTAAACACTGGATTATCTGGCCCAGACTCAACTATCAACAGCCTGCCCTCACATCAATAAAAATGAATTGTCTTTCCACTTGTCTTTATAATAACATATTACAAAACTCTTAAAAAATGGAAGGTTTCTATTTGTCCAATGACACCATAAGTATTGGGTAGTTTAGCAAAGTCTGTTGGACTACTGCCAGTTTCTATCCCAGTCATACAGCAGAACTACTGCTCAGTGCTGTAGGTTAGATCACCGACTTTGTGCAGGCAATATGGTGCCTGACTGAGAGTGTGGGTTCAAATCCCGACTTGGACTCAACTAGGGCTGCAACAAATACATACACTACACTATCTGGCAAATATTATATGTATTACGAATATTGGGTAACGAATAATTATTCACGAATTCAATATTGTAGTAAGTGATTGATGCACAATATGGAACGTCTATGTTGACAGTGTTAATTTGTCACAGCAATAACCAGTTATCTCATGACACTCAAATTTGTTATGTAATAGGTATAGTCGACAGTACCATGTGCAGCCTTTGCAATCTAACATGACTTGCGCTACTGCAAGGCTAGTGCATATTCCATTCTTGCATATCTCAATTTGATAAAGGCATAAGTGTTCCAGTAAAACACGCTCCCTCAATAAAATTGTAAATATTTGTGAATATTTGGTTCTTGTCACCACGAATAACAAATTGAATTCAAGAAGGGCTTCGGTTCAATTCACCGAAAATATGAATATGCGAGCGAATCGTAACAGCCTTAGACTCAATCCCAATACAAATTGGCTTCACTAGAATTTGTACTTTACGCGAAAATTTAATCCCTCATGTTACATTGCTAAATGTGATGGTAAGCAACGAACAAAAACCGATATCAAGCAATCACTTTTCATTTGTAGGTATTCTGGACCAAGGAGCCGGAGTGCTGATTGTGTTTGATGAAACCCCAGTTGACAAGACATACGAGAGCTCTCTCGAAACAATACAGAGCATGGGCAAGGTTGTTGATGCTCTGTACAACAAAGCTAAAAAACTCACTTAGGCTCATCTTCATCAAGACTTGATCTACTTGAAGGATATTCCCTCTCCAATGACCAACAACACCACTTATCCTTTCAAAAATGACAATTTTGTTTGAATATTTTGTAATATTTCATTGTCCAAAATATCAAAATGCTGTCAGTTTAAACACTATTGTTTTAGTTATTTTGATGATACTTTGAAAGGATTTCTGGCATCTGAAGAGGAATGAGTTCTGGTGTACAATGGAAGACTGCATGTGAACAGAGAACATCGGACAGGAAATACTTGAGTATTTATATGTGCATTCATTCATATTGAACTTGTTATCATCTGAATAAATTACATGTTTCGTAAATGGTGACTTGTGTATGTCAATCAGGGTCCAAATATTTGATGTTTTGGGGGAGGGTGCATTGGAATTTATCCAAAGAAATGCACTCTTCCATGCACTTCTTTGATTTTCAACATGGGCACAATGTCTGAAGCCGTTTCTGGTAAATCCCCCACCCAGATTTTGCTGGAATATTGGTGAAAGTAGCATAAAATTATACTCACTCACTCACACAAAACATACAGAATTTTAGTGTTTATGAAATCAATATCTGGTCTTAAGTTATAGGGGAAAAATATCTAGTTTCCATATAAAATTACAGCCTTGCCCTATCCCCTTCCAATATTTATAGGATCTCACATACAGGTAACTGCTTACAGGTGCTGTCGTATATATGGGAATATTTCGGAGTGCTGAGTGCAATTCCAAAAGGGGTGGTAGCGGTTCAAATCTCCTCGAACTCGTAATTGGTCAGTAAATATAAATGTCTTCTTCACTGCTGCACAGTTACGGTGTATGGTGTAATGTGTCACTCGCGAAAAATAGTGAAACTTCGTTGTGTCGAACTTTGATGTGTATACGTTTGTCTCGAAGTAAAAGCTTGGTCACTACATGTAAGGGACCGTTCATAAAGTTTAGCAAGGGGTGTAGTGTTGATTATTTTAAGGGGCGGGGGAAGGGTCATCAATTTTTTGGGAGGTGAGCAATTTGGTACATAAAAATATTTAAAAATTATGCTTCAAACTTATGGGAAGTGGGTGGCGGGTGGATGTCATTGATTTTGTACATGAACCCGACAATCGGGATCGACATCACTAGCATCGGTGTCCTGTGTCCTGTGTCCGCCAAGTCAGCGACCCTGACCACCCGATCAAGTTGTCTCATGTAACAAGCATGGGTTGCTGAAGGCCAATTCTAACCTGGATCTTCACGGGTCGAATCCCGGATGGGACTCATCCCCCAAAAGTGCAGTCTCTACTTTACTGAGAGGAGTAATCTCCATTTCCCTTCATATATGATGTGAGGGTCGGTGGGGTAGCCTAGTGGTTAAAGCGTTCGTTCGTCACGCCGAAGACCCAGGTTCGATTCTCCACATTGGCACAATGTGTGAAGTTCATTTATGGTGTCCCCAGCTGTGATGTTGCTGGAATATTGCTAATAGCGGGGTAAAACCAAATTCAGTCAGTCAGTGTTTGTTAGAACAAACACAAGCAACCAGGCAATTGGTGAGTCATGTCATTGGTGATTTGGTTCACTTCTTCAGATCGTACCCTACCCGTGGTCCAGTTTCCAATATTTACAGACAGCCATTTAATTGGCACGTTGCTGTGTGCGCTGTTAAACAAGAAAACCGACCAACCAAATCAAATCGTACCCCACCGGCTTCGAATGTTGTTCATGACATCGACCACTGTTTTGTTAGCTTGTCCATATCAATTATTTACTGTGTAGATCGATGCTCATGCTGTTGGTCACTGGATTGTCTGGTCCAGGGTCGATTATTTACAGACCGCCGCCATATAGCTGGAATGTAGCTGAGTGCGGCGTATAGCTAAACTCACTCATGCAATTATTTACCGCCAGACCATAATGGTTCGAATATCCCCGGCTGAAATTAAACAACGAAATAACAAAAACGTTTAACAAAAACATAAAACATGAGGAAATTCAGGGAACGATCATTACAACATCGTTGAAACAGACAAAAAGAGCAGCATAATGTTAAATCGATTTATTTTAAACCAACTAAATCATAAAGATATTTTCTCATGACAACGTTTTTCGCCGGATCACCCTGAGTGCACAGACAGAAAGACTCATGTACATTCAACCAGGTTCTGAAAATATTGGCATTCACACATAATCATTTAAATAAGCTTGTTATGGGTCAAACATTTTCCAGCAAACGCCCCGATCGAGGATTTGCTCACCTTATTCTTGTGGTCCTGTAAATCTCAATTCAAAGAAGTATACAGGGAGTTTCCCCACAGGCATATGTTCGTATGAATCCCACCACTAAACATTCGAGTTTTCTTAAGTTAGGTTTTGTTTCTCGTAAACTTCGCGTGCGTTTCTTGTGTACAGAAGAAAAAATCATAATTACCGTATTTCCTCCATTAAGAACTCGGGTCCTTGCTAACTTCATTTTAAGTATCGCCTGGAAAATCAGTGACCAGAGCGCCCTTTCAGAAAACGACCTCTCGGATGCCACACCGGTCAGCTTTTTGTTAAACCGTATCATTAGACACCCATTAAAAGTGTAAGTCTCCACTGAGAATACATCGCCCTAAGTTTTCGGTTCATAATAGGGGAAATACGGTCATTTCCAGCATATTAAAGATGAATCCTTTTTTATAAGTTAATATCGCCTCCCACATAGTACATTCAACAAATAAACTAACAACGATTTTTACTGAAGTAACCACACGATATAATATCACAGATCCACCCTGTCGTCGCATACACAATAAACATTGACAACTAATCATAGGAAACGGTAACAAAGCAGCGGTTTAAAAAGTTTAACCTCAAAATTCATCATCATAGATAAAAAATATATATCTATAGGACAGAAGTTTGATATCTTATATACTACTCATTTATTGTTTATTTGTATTAATCCACGTCAACCAACTTGTAAAATACGGAATATCTCCGTTTGTCTTGGGTCACAGAGTTGCGTTCCTTAGTTGAGTACGGATCCGCTGGTTTGAGTCCACACACCCCTTAATAATATCTTTGGTGTGTCAACAACACAATTTTACCTTATCACATAAATATGCTCTAAGTGTCTTCTGCCAAACTTACTCGTCCCCTTGTTTGTGCATGAATATCGCAAATATAAACTGGTGTTTTGTTTGGTTTAATAGGCCGACCGACCAAAACAACTGAAATTACAAAAACGGGAGCTTGACAATTTGGTTTGAGCTGAAATTCCGTTCATATGTGAAAGACGTAAGTGATTTTATCACCGCTGTATATCACTCGCTTGAACTAAGGAATCGTAGGGATTTCTTAAACAGTGATTTGTTATTACGCGTTGTCTGGATGACAAGCAAGCAAGCCACATAACGTGTAAACATGACGTGGAAGGAAGGCCTGATTGAGTGAGTTTAGTTTTACGCCGCACTCAGCAATATTCCAGCTATATGACGGCGGTCTGTAAATAATCGAATCTGGACCAGACGATCCAGTGATCAACAGCATGAGCATCAATCTACGCACTTGGGGTACGATGACATGTGTCAACCACGTCAGCGAGCCTGTCCACCCGATCCCGTTAGTCGCCTATTACAAGCATGGGTTACTGAAGATCAGTTCTAACCCGATCTTCACGGATCAGGCAAGTGATGCAGGCCCCAGCTGCTTACAACAAACACCGGCACGGTGCTGACAAACCTAGAAACATAATAAGGACGACGCGGGATTCGAACCAATACTCGCAGTGTCCTCCCTCGAACTAAGGGACGCAACTCAGCCGAGAGAATAGTGCTACAATGGAACATTCGTAAATGTAATTCATACAGCTTAATAATCAACATTTAACAATAATTACAGTCAATTGGGATTTAATAAAGTAACAATATATTTTTCAATCACAGAATATTTTTATCGGTCAGTTGCAGATGTCATTGTCATTTAAAAATAACACAATATCTTAATTCAAACACATCACTTGAATGGTTAGGAATGCAATTGATATCTGTGTAATACAATCAAAACATGGGATGGTTATGCAACACAATATGCCTATATGTGAAATATCCTGAATAGATAACCTAAAACCAGCTCCTTTCTTTATTTACAAATGCTAATTTTAAAGAGCCAAGGTCAAATTCTTGTTGTAAATTACTGGAATGCTGATTCAACAAACGAATACGTAACGTCCCATAAAAACTGTAACATAATATCGTTATCTCGTAATCCCTTATCTCGAAGTATCGTTTAAAACGATGTACCTTTATGGTCCCGGTATAATCTCTATGTGGTCTAATATCAAAACTCCGTTTTTCTCGAACAACGGATATCTCGAGTGTACGACCTCCGGTATTGTGGTTACTGAGGCTTCAATTCTCCCATCCCTGTACCAAGTCCAACATTGGAAAGACTTTTTTAAAAACTGAATCTGCTAATAACATCTGATAAAAAGTAAATGAAAAACCAGATTTTACATGTTCCGCCCGACCAAAATAAGTTAAATGTTTAATAAATATGCATTAAACAGTCAATTTAATTAAAACCTTTGTTATTTCCCCTTCCACATCCCCCTTTTTACTTTCCATAAAGTTTTCAAGAACATTATAAACAGTTTTGTTTAATTTTAGATTTATTATAAATATTTTATTGTATTATATATTTTCTTCGACCTTAATTTTCATACCGATATGCGTACCACTAAAAAGTCTGGCCATCGATCACCATATAGCGTTTGACATATCTGTCTATCAACTAAATTAACACATGTGATAGAGAACCCAACGCACTAACGCTGAAATGACATATGAGCATATATTAGTTGACACCGGAAGTCATACATAACGGAGCATGTCTTAACGAAACAAATTATAAAGGCTAAGAATCTGTTTTCTGTTTGTTTTTGGTTGAAACTAGTTGATTTTCAAGGGTTTGAGTTTAGTAAACTACGTTTATAACGAACTCACTTACAACGAACTTTGGATATAACGAACTTTGGATATAACGAACTGGTTTGTTTTGTACCCCGGCTACCTGCTCCACATTGCAGGCGAAATGTATATACCGAACTACGATAATAACGAGCTAAAATTATTGGTCCATTTGAATTCGGTATAACCGTAGTTTAATTAGTTCGTTACAACATGGCTATGACGTCAAAGGCGCAGTGGATAAGATGCCCGGCAAGTGCCTGTTTAAACTGTTTAATTGTAAACATACTTTGCATGCTAACTATATTGACAAGATGTTGTCCATATCATCATATATCACTAAGCCATTATACAAAGATCGATATAAAACGATTTGTTCAGTACAGCGTAGCGTTTTAGTTCAACGATGGCATATTTGGTATATATCAGAATATGTAATGTAAGATCTACACTGAATCAATTTCAACACCAATGTGAGCGTCATATTAAATAAATATATTTTGCCAATGTACGTGTTACACTGAATAATTTTGCATGCCAATGTAAGCTTTACACCGAAACACCATGTATACCAGTGTAAGCGTTACATCGAGTCGAGTTGTATACCAATGTATGCGTTACATTGAATAAACCTGTTTACCAATGTATGCGTTACATTGAAACAATATATATCAATGTAAGTTAAAAGGTGAATCAATCGGTATACCAATGTATGCGCTACATTGAATCAACTGTGTACAAGATATACGTTACACTGACTCACTCTGTATACCAATGTACTCCTTATATCCAAACAATATTTACACCAAGGCACGTACCTGTATACCGATGTCACCGTAATACTGAAACAGTGTTATACCATTGTTAGCGTTACATTGAATCAATCTAAATCGATCAGTATCTGTATGTTATACTTTGATTTGTCCTCTGTTTGAAACCCCACGTTCCTAACAAAATTTATGAAATAAAATTATCCCTAATAATTCTCCAGTGAAGACCTGCATACTACAAAACCTCCTTAATACGAACAAGGGACCTGTTGCTTCCTCCCTATCATGGGCACAACACACTTAGCCAAATAACGGGGACTATGTTCTAGGTGATGACGCCATGGGATGAAGGAACCTTTTTATACGGACACTGTTTATAACGACTTCCTGTCTTTCAAACTAGTTTTGTGAGAAAAGTGTAAGGAAACATTTCTAGAAACATGCTCGTCAGGCACTAGAAATATGTTTTAAATGTGCCATGACGATTTTAAGCACTAGTAGTCCAACACAAGGAAGGAACCCCTTTATACCCGTCATGTCAATAACATAATGAAAAACACCTTCCGGACATATTCTCGACACAGCGTTTCTGTCACAGCGAGGAGGGGAGGGTGACACTAACACTGTAGACGTATAGCTAACAATACCAACATCTACCTATTTCAGTACCCGAGATACGAGCTTGTTATTTGTCACCGTAATACCATCTTGTCCTGCTGACATTAAGATCTTAACAACATTCAGTTATTATCAGTCCAGTAATCAGTTACGCAATCACATATTTCACATTAAGAATGTCCGCTGGACAGGCCTCTGGCAAGTTACCCATATTCCCAACATCTATTTGTGCCTTGATACCCATGCGTACAGAAATAGTTCATTCATATTCCATAATTTATATACAAGTCGTAATACATAAAGTGAAACCTCGATAATCCAGACGTATTACCTAATGTAACCATTTGTGTTTACACAGGACACTGGATTAATGGGGTCCGGTTTGTATATATCATGATTACATTAATTAGACCGTCGTCCAGATTAGCGGGATTTCTTTTTATCTGATATAGGTCTTTTACACACAATGAAAATTTCAGTAACATCACGCACAAGATACATTAATCACATCTTTCTCACATTACATCAACTGGAACATCTACACCTTCCTACTTCTCATTCACGCCATTCTCACCATATAGTTCGTAGTTCATATCAAACTTCCAACACTCAAAATGGCATACCCTCATTTTCATCCATCAACGATTTATAACTGTGTAATTAGTTGGCATGGAAACAGTCTCACCCACCACATCATATCATTTATATCACCACCGGCATATATTATATATCGTCAGCTGACATATCACTCACATATGGACCATATTCCCCCAAACTTTTCATCCATCACAAACATGCCTTGTGTTAACATATCATTTCTACCACCCTCAACATATCTTTGTGTTAACAATAACATATCATCTCTGTCACTCCCAACATACCCTTGTGGAAACATATCAACTGTCACCCTCAACATACCCTTGTGTTAACATATCAACTGTCACCCTCAACATACCATTGTGTTAACATATCAACTATCTGCCTCAACTGACATTGTGTTAACATATCATCTGTCACCTTCAACATACCATTGTGTTAACATATCAACTGTCACCCTCAACATATCTTTGTGTTAACATATCAACTGTCACCCTCAACATACCCTTGTGTTAACATATCAACTATCTACCTCAACATACCCTTGTGTTAACATATCATCTGTCACTCCCAACATACCCTTGTGTTAACATATCAACTGTCATTCCTAACATACGCTTGTGTTAACATATCATCTGTCACTCCCAACATACCCTTGTGTTAACATATCATCTGTCACCCCAAATATACCCTTGTGTTAACATTTCATTTCAACCACCCTAAACATACCCTTGTGTTAACATAACTGTCACTCCCAACATACCATTGTGTTAACATATCATCTGTCACCCCAACATACCCTTGTGTTAACATATCATTTATGTCACCCCCAACATACCATTGTGTTAACATATCATCTCTGTCACTCCCAACATACCCATTCTGTTACCAACATACCCTTGTGTTTACATATTATCCATATCACTTCAAACAAACCCTGACCATCAAGATATCATTCATATATAAACCCTTCATATCCTTCCCACTAATATATCTTCCGTATCACCCGAAACATAGCCAAGCCATTCGAATATCATCTATTAGAATAATATCCATATCACCCGAGCCATAGCCAAGCCATTCGAATATCATCTATGAGAATAATATCCATATCATCTCCGTCATATCCTGGCCGTCATATCATCCATATCATCTTCACCAGCAACCAATACTATTCACAGAATATAAGCGTGATATTACCATAGTTGGTGATGTGCAACTCTATCATCACATATACACCACTTTCTTCACATTGTACATATATTATCTTGGCAATATTACCACAAGGGTTTCATATCACAACTCCCATACACTATATCCCATATCACTCAAGTTATATACATAAAATATTACCTTCTATGGCAATATTATCAACACATTAACTCGAATTCACCTTTCCTTCACAACGTGTTACCAAAGATCTTACAGGCAATAGTATCATTATTCACCCAAACCCGTATCCAAGACTTTGGGAGAAATGAAGTCAACATGACTGTGAATGTTCTCATACCCCCTTCTATTAGAGCTACACACAAAAATACGGGGAGACACTAAACCCTTCCAACGTAAATCCGGCATTATCCCTCAGATCACTAAATAACAACTTAAGGGATATCCTGCATCCTGTGCAGCTCATGGTGAAATGACCTTGACCTTCACCCTTAGAACCACGTTCAGCCTGAGATCATCCAAGGGGTAAAACTATCTATTTAAATCAGTATAGCAAATGGTACCCGTTTTCAACAAATGTGGATATTATAATAAACACTCCTGCAGTTGGTCTGACCTTGATCTACATGCCAGGTCATGTCACCCTGACCTGCACAGATATCTGACCCCATTCACACTGAAACCAGTGAGCAATATCACACTTTACATGGACCGGAAGTAAACGGTCCATGGTCAAGGTCAACGGCGACGTCAGATCAGGTACCGGATTCAAGTCTGCCATTTCCTAACAGAAGCTTGCTCCGGGATCTGATCTCTCTCGCACTTCTTTCATCATCACATAGTCCTTGAGTGCTCTTGGCATGGGCAAAGAATCCACCTTTTCTGCGATGTTTCTTCCTGAACATTTCCGAATTGATTTCCTGCACAGCTGCTGCAACGACACCACAGACCCCATCTGCGCGCGCAGCACGTGCAGTATCTCATCCTGTTCACACAGTCTGGAGGGAACGTAGCTAGTGTAAAAGTGTACCCGTGCTCCGTAATCGACGTGACCAAGAGAGGCGAGCAGACGACAAATCTCTAACTGGCTTTTCTCTGCTGCTAAGTGAAATATGGACTTATACACACCGTTAGAAAAGTATTTAGCGGGTACGTCAAGGTCACAGTTGTACATAAGCATGAGACGGATTACTTCCTGCTTGTTACTAACGACGGCCTCGTAGGCGGCCGTCTCTCCTTGATGGTTGAAGATGTCGTGTCGACTTCCTGCCGCGAGCAACAGCTCCACAACTGCCGTGTAGTTCCTCTTGATAGCTATGTGGAGAGCGGTGTCGCCTGTTTTGAATTCCCGTCGGTTCAAATCACAGTTTGCGATGATTAGGCGTGATATGGCGTCTTTGTGATTGTAACATACCGCTTCCATGAGAGGTGTCCGCCCCCAATAGTTCTGAACATCAATAAGACTACCCCCAGCCACTAAAAGATCGATAATGTCAACGCACCCGTTTCTCGCGGCATAGTGGAGAGCCATATCGGAGTTCCGGTCAGTGAGGTTGAGGTCAGCGCTTGCACGCAACAGTCTCAGCACTGCGTCTGTTTTGTTGTTTCTTACCGCCTTCATCAGGGGTGTTTTCGACGTGATATCTTGGCTATTTACGTCAACACTACGACGTAGAAGAACATCAAGGATTTGGCAGTACCCGTCGTCGGCAGCATAGTGGCACGGCGAGTTTCCAAACGTGTCCTTGGCGTCTATTTTGGCTCCAGCTGAGATTAAAAGTAGCATACACGCCATCTTGTGTTGAAGCACAGAGAAATGGAGCGCTGTCCGTCGCAATGTCGTTGTCGTTTGGTTCACGTCGCATTTAGACTCAATGAGATATTGTAACATATACGTGTAGCCTCTGTACGCAGCCAAATGTATTGGGCACAAATCGGAATGATTCTTTTTCCTTACCTCCACGAACTTGGCGCTTAGATCGATTTTGTACTGAGTAGCCAAACGCTTCAGTTGTTGAAGCTCATTGTTTAGCACCGCATCGTAGAATTCAAGACCCGCCATTTGAGTTCTAAGTAGCATTGAGGCGGTCCTGTTTAGCTCCGTCTTCTCCGTTGGATCTCGTCTCACTGTATCTCTCCTCACACGCCCTTGTCCCAGGTTCCAGCTCAAACCATCCCTATTTCTCAAACCAAAATACCTCGGTCCGCCATTCCGACAAAGTGCTGATCAATCGCCCTCCCTATGATGACGCACCGTTAAGCGATAGGCAGATCCCTTATTATCAAGTTTTATGAAAATCATCTCATAGCCTCGATTCCGCGGTACCAAAGCGAGGCACGTAGAGAGAAAAGCTATGTGTAGGTGTATGCTGTCGCTGATGTTTACTTCCCTGGATGCTTCGTTGTAACGCAAGTTCCTGATACTGTGGCTATTGCCGTCATAACGGTAAATAGTGTTGGCGGTTGTTGTCGGTGATGGGAAGATATGGCTGAAGGAGCGGGATGACCATTTTGTGCACTTTTTGCAAATTAACGCTGACAGTTACATCTTAATTATAACACAGTCATAAAATATTTTTTTGCAGTTAATATCCATAATTAAAACAATATTTTGCAATAATTTGATAATAGTGATGCTTTAAAGTCAGCTCAGCACGTATTGAAAAAACGATATCTGTAATATTCCAAACCTCTACTAATATAATACATATAAACAACCCCTGAAATTTTAAAATTATTAATTTGCTTAATTTTGAATGTAGTTTATGAAGACCATATTTTATTTCATCTTCGTTTTGAAAAGTTGATTCATTTAAAGAGTCTGATGAGTAAGTTTACAAACACATATAAGCGTTTGCTCTCCACAAATCCTGAAACCCTTTTGGGTGAAACCATTAGCTGATAATTACTACTGGTTCGAGGAACATAGATCGTATTGTGTTGTTGCCACGGAAATCTCGACCTCACCTAGCAACGTGAGAAGATATCTACCGCCCTTACTGGCACGCTAATATCGATTTTTCCGAGATGATGTCAATTCCCCTCTCTATAAGGCGACAGAGCGGCACATAGATTCCCTGCTCGCCTCCCAGTCTTGTCCGCGTATATCGAGGAGACAACTGACAGTTGTCCATAGCAGCGGATTCATAACGATCGGCGTTGAAATTGGAGATTTGTGTGGTTTTGTGTTTTGGATATAGTAATTCTGTTTATTAAAGAAATGACCCGATTCCATGTCTGCCTGCAAACTAGCTCTGCGACTAAGCTACTAAATATAACTCCTTCCACGTGTTTTATTGACATATGACGCAAGCTGTAGACATTGTCGGTATCAATATTGATAGTTTTACCGATATTTTGAAATATGTTCTTAAAATTACGTGCATATCGGATCAATTAACCACAATAGATCATTTTTGTTAAATATCTATATTGAAAACAGCTGTTTACGTACAGTTGGTGTGTACTGAATTTTATTTTAAACATTCAACAGCAACAACAACGATTTCATGTTCCGGCATGGAACAATATCAACCCATAATCACACTTCTCATTGATTAATTAATCTATTCTTGCCAAAGAAAATGTGAGTATACGCGATCATGCAAAAAAAATGATAAATAACAACACACGTGGGGGCAAACATATATAAAACTGGTGACACTTGTATACTGACTACAAAAGGGATGTTAAAGTGTTGTTTGTCTGTCTGTTTGTTTGTTTGTTTTGGACAGTAAGTTTGTAACACTGTTCTTCTAATACTTCTACTGGTATTGTGTATTCACTTCATGCATTCGTACATACCCACTCCAGCACCCAAATACACTTACAAAATTTATTACTGACCGTCACTAATCACCACGCCCCTTGGTCAACAAATACCTGACCATTACATTGACCAGAACAAACCCTTGCGACCCAATACGATCTCTGGCAAAAATTATTAACCCGAGTCGCCGAATACGCTCCTTTGTCACCACCACAAACCCTGGTCACCCAATACACTCTCTAGTCCCCACCACAAACCCTGGTCACCCAATACACTCTCTAGACCCCATCAGAAACCCTGGTCACCCAATACACTCTCTAGACCCCATCAGAAACCCTGGTCATCCAATACACTCTCTACACCCCACCAGAAACCTTGGTCACCCAATACACTCTCTAGTCCCCATCAGAAACCTTGGTCACCCAAAACACTCTCTAGTCCCCATAAGAAACCCTGGTCACCCAATAAGCTCTCTAGTCCCCACTATTAACCATAGTTGCCCAATACGCTCTCAAGTCACCACGTAATACCCTCGTCACCATATACAACCCCTCGTCACTACTAAAAACCCTGGACACCCAATACACTCTCTAGACCTCACCACAAACACTGGTCGCCCAATAGACTCTCTAGTCCCCACCACAAACCCTGGTCACCCAATACACTCTCTAGTCCCCACCACAAACCCTGGTCACCCAATACACTCTCTAGTCCCCACCAGAAACCCTGGTCACCCAATACACTCTCTAGTCCCCACCACAAACCCTGGTCACCCAATACACTCTCTAGACCCCATCAGAAACCCTGGTCACCCAATACACTCTCTAGACCCCATCAGAAACCCTGGTCATCCAATACACTCTCTACACCCCACCAGAAACCTTGGTCACCCAATACACTCTCTAGTCCCCATCAGAAACCTTGGTCACCCAAAACACTCTCTAGTCCCCATAAGAAACCCTGGTCACCCAATAAGCTCTCTAGTCCCCACTATTAACCATAGTTGCCCAATACGCTCTCAAGTCACCACGTAATACCCTCGTCACCATATACAACCCCTCGTCACTACTAAAAACCCTGGACACCCAATACACTCTCTAGACCTCACCACAAACACTGGTCGCCCAATAGACTCTCTAGTCCCCACCACAAACCCTGGTCACCCAATACACTCTCTAGTCCCCACCACAAACCCTGGTCACCCAATACACTCTCTAGTCCCCACCACAAACCCTGGTCACCCAATACACTCTCTAGTCCCCACCACAAACCCTGGTCACCCAATACACTCTCTAGACCCCATCAGAAACCCTGGTCACCCAATACACTCTCTAGACCCCATCAGAAACCCTGGTCATCCAATACACTCTCTACACCCCACCAGAAACCTTGGTCACCTAATACACTCTCTAGACCCCATCAGAAACCTTGGTCACCCAATACACTCTCTAGTCCCCATCAGAAACCCTGGTCACCCAATAAGCTCTCTAGTCCCCACTATTAACCATAGTTGCCCAATACACTCTCAAGTCACCACGTAATACCCTCGTCACTACTAAAACCCCTGGACACCCAATACACTCTCTAGACCTCACCACAAACACTGGTCGCCAAATAGACTCTCTAGTCCCCACCACAAACCCTGGTCACCCAATACACTCTCTAGTCCCCACCACAAACCCTGGTCACCCAATACACTCTCTAGTCCCCACCACAAACCCTGGTCACCCAATACACTCTCTAGTCCCCACCACAAACCCTGGTCACCCAATACACTCTCTAGACCCCATCAGAAACCCTGGTCACCCAATACACTCTCTAGACCCCATCAGAAACCCTGGTCATCCAATACACTCTCTACACCCCACCAGAAACCTTGGTCACCTAATACACTCTCTAGACCCCATCAGAAACCTTGGTCACCCAATACACTCTCTAGTCCCCATCAGAAACCCTGGTCACCCAATAAGCTCTCTAGTCCCCACTATTAACCATAGTTGCCCAATACACTCTCAAGTCACCACGTAATACCCTCGTCACTACTAAAACCCTGGACACCCAAACCCTGGTCACCAATACACTCTCTAGTCCCCACCACAAACCCTGGTCACCCAATACACTCTCTAGTCCCACCACAAACCCTGGTCACCCAATACACTCTCTAGACCCCATCAGAAACCCTGGTCACCCAATACACTCTCTAGACCCCATCAGAAACCCTGGTCATCCAATACACTCTCTACACCCCACCAGAAACCTTGGTCACCTAATACACTCTCTAGACCCCATCAGAAACCTTGGTCACTCAATACACTCTCTAGTCCCCATCAGAAACCCTGGTCACCCAATAAGCTCTCTAGTCCCCACTATTAACCATAGTTGCCCAATACGCTCTCAAGTCACCACGTAATACCCTCGTCACCATATACAACCCCTCGTCACTACTAAAAACCCTGGACACCCAATACACTCTCTAGACCTCACCACAAACACTGGTCGCCCAATAGACTCTCTAGTCCCCACCACAAACCCTGGTCACCCAATACACTCTCTAGTCCCCACCACAAACCCTGGTCACCCAATACACTCTCTAGTCCCCACCACAAACCCTGGTCACCCAATACACTCTCTAGTCCCCACCACAAACCCTGGTCACCCAATACACTCTCTAGTCCCCACCACAAACCCTGGTCACCCAATACACTCTCTAGTCCCCACCACAAACCCTGGTCACCCAATACACTCTCTAGTCCCCACCACAAACCCTGGTCACCCAATACACTCTCTAGTCCCCATCACAAACCCTGGTCACCAAATACGCTCCTTAGTTACCACTTAATACCCTCGTCACCAGATACAACCCCTCGTCACTACTAAAACTCCTGGTACCACATAAAACCCTGGTCACCAAATACACGCCCCAGTCACTACTAAAAGGCCTGGTCACCCTATCCGCCCCCTAGTCAACACTATCAACACCTAATGCACATCCTTGTCGAGCAACCCCCACACACGTCACCCAATACACACCAGCGCCACTGTAAAAGCACACACTCGTCACACAATACACACCAGCGCCACTGTAAAAAGCACACACTCGTCACACAATACACACCAGCGTCACTGTAAAAGCACACACTCGTCACACAATACACACCAGCCCCACTGTAAAAGCACACACTCGTCACACAATACACACCAGCGTCACTGTAAAGCACACACTCGTCACACAATACACGCCAGCGTCACTGTAAAAGCGCACACTTGTCACACAATACACACCAGCCCCACTGTAAACGCACACACTCGTCACACAATACACACCAGCCACACTGTAAAAGCGCACACTTGTCACACAATACACACCAGCGTCACCGTAAAGCACACACTCGTCACACAATACACGCCAGCGTCACTGTAAGAGCAAACGTTCGTCACACAATACACACCAGCATCACCGTTTATAAGAGCACACATTCCTCACAC